ATTGGCTTCAGCTATGCCGCGATATAAAAAGCAATAATAGAACGGGTTATATCACCAACGATAGCAGCTCCCGCCAAATCGCTGATAGCAACCAACCAGACCAGCCCACACCATTGCGCAACCAGAACATCTAGCAGTCACAAGCAGCGAAATAGACAAAAGCAATATATAGCTCAAGCTACACTTTTTCCCCTTAGCCCCTCCTCCGCAGAGGAGCTATTAATCATACACTATCCAAACACCATGTGCGAAAACTTCTTGAAAAAAAAAACATCTTCCATCGCCATTTCTACAACATACTAGCGAATAAAGAGACACTTGCACTCCCTTTCCTCTCGCCCTATTCCCAGTATATATGTGGAGTTGGGAGCGTTTTTTCTTTTCTCTTTCGTTTGTACCTGAGCAGCACTTTAACGTTGCATTATAGTACCTGGTCCATGCACCTTTTTTGTACCACCATGCCTATACTACGTCTAGAATAGTAACTTGGGGGGGGGGGGCTCGCTTCCCGGGTTTCTGTTGGGAGTGTGTTGGCAATTGACTTTTCTGGGTAAATGTTGAGTTTGCTATTGGTGCGGTGGATATTGCTTGCTTCGGTACTTTTGAGTGCTTTGATATGATTTGTTTCTTTATCAAATTCTTTTTGTGCGATATTGATGTTTGGTTTTGTTGATGAGAAAAATATGTTTTGGTTGGTTTTTGATTTAAGGTTTGGATGTGGGATCAATTTAAGATCGATGCATAGTTGTGATTGCGTGAGCTATGGAATGTTAGTGATTTGAGGGAAGGTGTTTTTGAAAAAGTGATCAAGATCACTTGCTAATTGTTTCCTGTTGGTAGTGTCTCGCAGCGTGCTACATGATACTCCTGGTCATTCACAGTTGCTATCATGTTAGGTACAGCGGATCTCACAACAGTTGCGCCAATCATACTGTAGTCGATGTGGCTCAGGTAGAGGTCAACTAAGAGTGTTTTTCAGGGTTGCTTCTACAATGGAGTCTGGAAACGGCTACAAATGCTAGGTGGACGCCCAGACCACATATTCATTTGGATGGGAAGCCATACCATTCCACTGGCTCCGAGACTACGATTTTCTAGAGGCTTTTAAGGATATTCTTGCTTGGCTTGGTAGTTCACTGTGATACATAGTGTCATAATGAGTTAGCTAATAATCTTAGTAGCATAGCAAAATGCAAAAGCTCAAGCTTGCCTACTTTTTCTCATTAGTAAACAATACATATGTATCGTCCGCGGCCGTAAAAATCAACTTCCAGCGATGAGGGAGATTTTGGTGGTTTCTTTTATGGCGCGGATACACTATATTCCGAGTGTCGCTGTTTTCGGACTTTTATACAGACGTGGCTCGGACTTCTATCAACAACGTTAGCTTTTCACTGGCACATCATTCCCTTTTATGGCTAAGCTTTTTTTCACCACACGAAGGAACGATATGCCTCGGCCCACTACCTGTCTCTAGGGCACAATCTCAACGATTGCCTACTGGCGATTCAGTTGGAAATGCTTGTCTCTTGGCCACCAGTGTTACTCTGCTCAGATACGGCCATTTGCGCTTCAGTTGTGTATATGCTCATCATATCTGAAGTATGCAATGATACTGGGATTGTCTGCACATCATACATATCCATCTGCGAGCAATTATAGGCACGGATATGCACGCGCCGAGGACGTGGTGTTACAATTCACCGAGTCCGGGGCGGATTGGGCCGGGGGCAAAATGTTTGATCATCATTCCGCCTCGAGCGGCATATCGAACCAGATCCTGGAACATGACGGGGTATGTGTGTTTGTCATGCATCTTCTACCAGGCTCATGATATTGAACGTCTTTGGTTTTAAGGGTGTGTAGAGAAAGTTTGTTATGCCCCTTAATCTAGAGACCTCGTATTGCCCTCTAGGATATGCAGCTGGCGATTAGATGTTAGACCGGCCGGGTAAATCGCACCGCGACCACATTTTATCTACGTCTTCCATCTTATGCTCTTGATGTGCATGAACCTGTGGGAGCTTAGCATTCTTGACTACATAGAAGATTAGTATGGGCTAGATCCCATTGCTTATTTTAGTACTCGACACTGATGATATCCTCGTCGCGGAGTTGCCGGAACACGCACAATCCACGATGATGCTTGCCGACTGGTCGAGAACATTTACAATTGTAGGGGCACGCCTCGAATTTCAAATCGATGGCCAATGTAGGGATGAAGGTAGGGTAACTTGGCTTCAAGTCTCAACTACAGACATGGGTACTTTGATAATGTTGTTGAAAGAGCGTTTCCCCCAATGGTTCGCTGACAACGTGCATCATGCGGAATGACTCCGGTGAGATTGGGGATTGCGTTTCGTTGCCTAAGCACCCGCGCCGCACCGTGTCCGTGTGCGCCATCTTCGGATTCGCGTGACGGTACCATAGGCTCGTGCTCCAGCGGGGAACGATGAGGCGGTAGTGGCTGCTTATGCAACCTACATCGACAAAGGTTGTCAACGAGGATGCTGCCAAGTATGGAGTATGTACGTGAGCAAATAAGTAGGTCGTAGGAGATGCTCAACAGGGGCTGGACATAGCCTGCCCATCCGGGATTCAACCTGGTAGTCGTGAAATGTCTCTTGACAGACCTCAGCACTCCTCCTGTTCAGCTGCTGCGATCTGTGGAACGACGATCGTGCCACTGCCTGTGGTTCACACTGGCTGAACTGTGATCGATCATAGTCAGTACTGGTCAAAGGGAGGCTGTGCGTCATATTCAACACGTGGTCAGGTCGCCGTTCTAACAGGGTGTCAGGGCAACGAGGCGCGGCGGGACGCGACGCTGCGGTCTAGACGCATAGACATACAGGGAGTGGGAGATACGATGATGAATCATGTAGCCATCACCTTACCTTTTTACTCGGGCACGATCTCTACGCGGTCAGGCATCCTGATCCTTCACTTGTCCTCCGCGCCCTCCAGCCAAACATTTCGCTTCGGACCAGGACCGTCGCGTATTCTCAATGTCTTCGCTGCTGTACCGCTAGCCACGCCACCACGGATTCGTCTTAACTCCCCTGCGCCGGCATCTTAAATTCAGCCAGCCGTTAGCTTCATGAGGGGTTCCGTTTCCGCTTTCGGGCGGCCAAGGTGCGATGTCGATAATAGTGCGCATGAAGAAATCCTCCACCGGAGGTACCTGACATTCGCCTGCTTGGTCCGGCTCTCATGTCTGTCCCAATGGGCGTTGAAGGAGCGCATCTGCCCATGCGCCTCACGGCGGGGAGGCGGGTGTGATCGGTAGTATTCCATAGGAAATCTCTCCAAGCCGTATCTCTAGCCGCAGACTAAGCCTTATACAGTCTGTGATCTGAACTCTATACACGCATATGATTGATCGCTAGAGAACCTGATTCTGGTGGCGCCCACGCCCCTTTGGCGCCAACGTTTGAGCAGCCTTGGTCTATATCCCGAGCTGCTCAAATGCATCGGACGCGCTGCTTGTCTGCCATGTCCTGCCCTCGCAAAATACCGCGAGCATGAGTTCAACAAGCACGGCTGGCGAGTCCATCGCCTATCGCGTCATCATCCCAAGCGTTCTTGGGCCTGTTGTTGCATTGCCTCTGTGCGGCATTCGAATGTACACGAAACTCTACATATTGCGCAATACAGGATATGATGATTGTAAGCAATCCACCCGTCTGGATCATCGAGGACAATGCTTACAGTGTGACCAGATGCAATTGCTCTAGCGACGGTACGCATTGGCATTCGGACATGACTGTTCTACGCGCTTGGGAATTGACAGGAGGCATAGATTCTAGCCCTCGGGTTTTCAATCACTACTTGTTACCGTAAGACGCATAAGTACAACTGTCGAAAACTTGATCATAGCTAAAGCGATTCAGAGACAACCAACGGCTTAGGAAAGCATATCTGGGATGTGTCACCCTACCAGTTTCACCAATTGATGAAGGTAGGCATTGGCTACACGCACCCTGTGACTGTTGTCTAGCAAGTTACTTACCGCAATCACAGATTGGTGACATTGCCGGCCCGATCTTCTACAACCTTGCGACTCTATGCATTAAACTATCGCTATGTCTCTTCTACCTACGCTTCTCCGTTTCCAGAGGGTTCCATATTGTCATCTACGCACTCCTGGCTGTCTGTGTCATTTATAGCAGCCTTGCCGCGTTCGGTTTCGCCTGGGTGTGTCAGCCCAAAGAAAAATACTGGGACTTTAGCATCACGAGCGGATCCTGTGTCGACCTTGATGCCTTGTTCTTGGCCAACGCATGTATCAATGCGGCGACGGATTTCGTACTCCTGGTTCTGCCACTGTTTATTATCAAAGATCTCACCCTACCCAAACGACGCAAGATTGGTGTAGCACTCTTGCTAATGACTGGTTCTTTGTGAGTTGACCATTTGAAGTCATCCAATGAAGCTTTAGACTGATTGCATCGCAGTGTTCTGGTTGTCAGCCTAATCAGAGTCGAAGCTGTGGTTAGAGGCATGGGCAAGATTGCAAAAGACGGGACTTGGGCCATGGTTACAAACTTCATCTGGATGTCAGTCTACTACTCGCAGCACCTCACGTATACATACTGACCTTGGTAGTCTTGTTGAACTATGGATGGGTGTCATTTGCACATGCCTGCCTACACTGCACACATTTGTCAAGAATCGATGGGCTGCTCGATGCGCCAAGCTTGTTGCGAAGAATAACAACAATGCTATGCCGGACCACCAATGGATCGGACTACAGGATACCCCAGAGAAACCAGCCGCGGTTGTAAATTTTCTGGATTCGAAAAGTCATGGAAGCGACTCGTCCATGGCTCGAACAATCGTATGCGAAGAAGGTTCCTTGCCCCCTGTTTCGCAAAGCAACACTCGGTCTACAGCAGTTTCAGCAGTGTGAGTTTGGATCATTAATAGTGTCTATACCACTGTAGCTCGATTGGAACAAACCCTATGTGCGCTTATGTACACTGGACTTGGATTTTTTTCTACTTTCGCATCCCGTTTGCGATCTTCTCGGCCAACATGTACAACGTGCCTTGTGGATGACCTGGAATACTGAAAGGAACCACCGAATTATCAACAACGCGTAGTCCCTTGACGCCGAACACCTGGCCCTTGGAGTCCACAACTGCGCCATCCTTCGCAGACTTGCCCATTGCGCATGTTGAACTTGCGTGCCAGATTGGCTGTGCGGATTCTTTGATAAACTTCAAGATATCCGCATCAGAAGATACTGCTGCACCAGGTACAATCTCTGGACCAACAACAGAGTTGGCAATGGCACGGCTATTCCAGGCTTCACGCACGCGCTTGAAAGCCGCAACGAGGACTTCTCCGTCTGCGGAGTCAGTCAACCAGCCCAAGTTGATGACTGGTGGATCGGAGATAGATGCGCTATTGATTGTGACGTTTCCTCTTGACAGAGGGGTGAGCAACGTAGCACTAATCGAACCAATGGTCGGGTAGTCTTGGCTGCCACTGGGAAAACCAGAAGCAATGTACTCGATCTCTGGCCAATCCTTGGGGAAATCTGCGAGCAACTTGGTCGTGCGAGATGAGAAATTGCCACGATATTTGGATGGAAGTTTTTCAAAAGAGAGATAGCCTCCTGCGGAGCTGTATGGACCCGAAGCGTTGGAGTAGTATTGCTGTAATGCAACGGCTACTTGGGCGGGCGTGCTGAGATATGTGCCAGTGTTCGGGACGTTGAAACCACGTAGTACATTGAGGAAGATCTGGTCCCAGAGATTCTGGCCCACGCCTGGAAGATCGGAAACGACTGGAATGGAGTGTTCAGCAAGAGTATCTGCGGGTCCAATACCTGTATTGAATGTTAGCATGCCTGCATCTCTTGACGAGAAAGATGTTGAAGTAGTTTACCGGATAGCATAAGTAGCTGTGGTGAATGAAACACGCCTGCCGAAATGATAACTTCCTTCTTTGCAGAAAGCACATAACTCGTGCCGTTTGTGGTTACAGCTACACCAGTTGCCTTTTTGCCGTTATCAAACAGGACTTTGTTGGCTTGAGAACGCAAGTAGACGACTGGTCCTGATGAAGGTGAAGCGAGCGTATCGAGATAGCTACTCTTCGAGGTACTTCTTGTTGCATTCTTAGGATCGATTGTCGTAGGTACCCACGCGCCTCCATCCAATGCTCCACTGCTAAGTCCTTTGATGCTGAGTTTCATACCAATATCCTGTAAAGCACGTACTAGCCAGCTTTGCGCAGGCTACAGATTTCAAAGTATGGAGTCAGTTCATGTATCACAAGCTATTTGGTTGATCTTTAGACTTACGTCGACCCAGTTCGCCCATGATACCTGCAGCGGGCCACGCAGCGAATTGTCAAACGCTGAAGCATCATATCGCACCGTAGCATTTGGCGCATTTCGCTTCTCCAAGTTCGGTGGAGTGAGCGTGCTACTCTTCTTGAAAAACGGAAGGATCTTGTCAAAGACATAGCTCTGGTCTCCCACTAGATCAGCCCAGCGCTGGTAAGCGCCGACGGTTCCTCGGTGGTAAGACATCGTGTTCAGTGCCGAACTTCCTCCCATCGTCTTGCCCTGCGCATAGTGAATGCGCCGGTTACCAGCCGAGGGCTGCGCGGCAGCTACCAAGTCCCAGTCAACAAGAGGCTGACGGGGATAATTCTCTGCGGTCCCGAGAACAGGCATTATGAGGCCATAGTACGGCACTACGGATTGGTTTCCATTGTCTTGCTCGTAGAACCCGCCGGCTTCCACGACGGCGACCGACGCAAAGGCAGAGAGTCGTGTGGCTAAGGCGAGCCCAGTCGTACCACCGCCAATGACTGGTCATCTCAAGTCAGATCACAGGAACACTCCAAAGACATTTTCTGTGGAACACAGTATTGAAAGATTTCCGTACCCACGTAGTCATAAGAAGCGCTTCCAGGTTTGCCCTCACGAATCGCCGCTGCTTGCACACTCGTGATAGAGACGAAGCTTAGCGCGGCAAGACTAGCCCAGCGTGTCATGCTCGGCAGATTAAACGTGAACGTTCTTGGAGCACTCATCAAAAGTGCTTAGTCGTACTAGTAAACAGTAATTACCCGTTCAAATATCCTTTGGGGCGCCGATCGCAAGTCAAAGCAAGTGGATAGTGGATATGTTCTGAAAGAAAAAAATGAGGCGCAAAAGGGAATTTTCTATTCTTCCCATTCCTTCGCACACCGCTGTGCCCTTGGACTTAGGTTCTCTAATGAGAGGGAATAGAATAGACCTGGGGGCTGGGTCCCGCTCACCAGCTGAGTCGTGGGCCGTCCTGTGAAGGGCCGACCACGAGCCCACACCAATCACAGAGAAACGGAGACTTACAGATACAGGTACCGGCATATTGGAGGCTTGCATGTTCCCATGTCTCCGGCGCGCATGAAAGATGGCCGCATCGTAACATTCGCAGCTCCATCTAGGCGCGTACTCCGTTCGTGGCTTTTTTGTTCCAGCCCGCCAGCGCCCGCCCGCCAGCGCGCTTGCGGAGGAGGGGACCGTCCAGACCCTGTGCCGCAATGCATGGGTTGCAAGCGTGGTTCATTACACGCTCCCTTGCAAACGGAACTCCACAGCGAGAAGAGCCCCAATGTCGAGAATACGATGCATATCTTGCTGAATGTCGGTCTGTTCAACGTGAACGATGGAGAGTTTGGGTCGAATTGCGTTATTCGGCCGTAAAACGCCCATGTCCCCTCCCACCCCCTTGCCCCCTTTCTGTGCTCACCTGGAACCAGGTTCACGGTCTCTGGGACTTAGCTGTATTCGGCGCGTATGTATGTAGTCAGCCTGTGTCGTGCTTTTCAGATCTAGCTTATTTATAGAGGCCGATTTGGAGTAGTTTGGAGTCTTTGCTTAGAACCAAGCTTTGCTGATAACACGTGGTGGCTTTTTCGTGCTCGCATGTACCGACGTTTGTCAAGTCAGGCGAAATTGAGCAGTGGCCTTTTTGTGTGGGTCGTGGACAATTGGTATGGGGTTTCGAGTTCTTTGGCAGTGGTCCATGCAATGTCTATCACTCCTCTCCACAGAGGGAACAATCGCGTGACTTCGGCTTGGCAGGATGGGCTTCGGGCCGTGTTTTGTGGTACCCGGCACCGTATCCGTTGCAACGTCTTTGTCAGGTGAAATGCAGATATGCAACGTCACTGTGAGAATTGGCAAAACAATCCGTGTCGAGTTCAATTCAACTGATTGTTTACGCAAGGGGTTGATTGAGTGCCATGTCCATTATCTCCTACGACTTGTGAACAGCATCGTTATACTTCCATACTACATAGAATTCAAATTATTTACTAACCGGCCAGCACTTGTAAAGTCACAAGGCTACCAAAAGATTGCAACGCTGATATTATTGTACTCTAAATTGAAGAAGAAAAAAAGAGCCACCGCACAAAATTCCAGTTGCACGCCGCCGCCTTCCTTTTATGCAACATACATCTGCAGTTCACCCAACCAGCCCAACACCGCCCGAGTCCAATCCATTTTGCCTACATCAAAATAGACTTTTCTGTCATGATTATCGCCTTAGTTTTGTCCAGTACAGCGAACATGTCCTCGTCTTCCTTGATGCGCTCCCCGCCGCTTCCGTTCATAACGGAAAGACATTGCTGTATATGCAGTTCGTCTCGAAATGTCATTTCGCTGACCGCGTCCCATCCTAACTCCTTTGGTTCTCCAATGAGGACAACAGGGTCTTCAGGATCAGCTCGTCCCGTCATGGAGGTTACTGCTCCCAATCGATCTCCAGCTCCAGAGCTAACCCGCTCAGTGTAGCTAAAGAGTGAACGTTTATCAGCGCTTGTTCCAAGCATTTTCGGGGAGTAGTCCTTACCGTATTGTGAACGATAGTGGTTTGTTTTCGCTGAATACTTCTTGATATATGGGCAGATGGACTTGTTCAATGTGTGACTGGAAGTCCTCCGGTGTTACTTCGGGGCGACGGGTGTAGAACACCAACACCGTGATTGTCATGTTTGCGATGCCGCGGGGGTTTGAAACAAGGCCTGCCGAGGAGGAAAAAACAAGTAGTATCGCTAAGATGGGCCGAGTCGGAATGTAATGCGGGTTGTAGATGATCGCAAAAGACGGAGGGTAATAGCGGTTTTAGACCTGTCCACGACGAAGCTACTGGCGGAATCACACGCCGGTTTATGTTTTTTTTAAAACTATTAGCACATGATCGGCTTACCGTCAATGCACAGGCTACATTCCAAAAGGGGTTCAACACGCAGTGCCTGCGCCGAAACTTTGAGGCAAATCATCACACCTGCCTGGCGATCAGAACCACTTGTTGCCTCGTACGTCGTGGCGGGTAGTGGGGCACGTAATGGACGATTCGCTCGAGGCAAGTCAAACGGCTGATACTGACTCTCGATTACTGTTTCCTGTTCTCCTTGCTTCTTTTCCACGGAGCTAGCTGCGGCACTTGACAATTGGCCTATTTTCGAGACTGTGCCGCACTCCAAAATCAATATTCCAAGACTTATCAGTGGGTACTGACGTTTTACAACTACCAAGTCGTTATTATTCAGTTGACTGTTCCTGCTCGTCGGGGTCGCAGCGACCCCTTGCATAGTATAAGGGGGTGGTGAAAAACCAGTTTGCCATCGGGGCTGGGCAACGGCGACAACGGGCGCTGGCTGGAAAGCCTATTACCCCCTTGATGTCAGTACTCCAGCATCGCGAGTGATAAGATAATAAAAAAAGAGCCGCGTCGGCGGCGTACGACGTCTTGTAGTCGGCATCGGAGCATACCCCGTACCCCTTTTGACCTTTTGACCGTTGGTGGAGCCCGCACACCGATTCCGAAGTGGGTCTCGAAGATTAACTGAATTGGGCACTAATATTTTCGCACCATACAACTAAAGAAGATGAGAGGGTTCAATTCGGTTCGTACATGCAAAACTCAACTTCGAAGCGTCCATTGATGGGGTGTTTGGCGTACTACCCCGCGTTGTGAGGGGTAGCGGACTATCTGCCACCGAAGCATCCGTCCACATGCTCGCAGCGACACTCCACGGGCCGGACCGCGCATCCGAGCGTCACGATGGTACCTCTGCTCATCTTGAGATATTTTGAGATGAAAAGAGCGGCCAAGGTTCAGTGGCGCTGACACTTCTGGCTGAACATTGCCTACAACCACAAATCGACCGAGAAGATGAAGTTCCGCGATGGTACGCATAATATCAAACTGCCAGCATTGATTTATTTAAGTTTTGGCTAATGCAACCTAGGGATGTGGCTGGTCAATGACCGTTTCACAGTCCAGCATGCAGAGGAAGTATACACAGTTACCCCTCGCGAAGACAACAAAGCAATCACACTGCTCTGTCCGAGTAAAAAGATCTTCTCTCGTGGCGATACCCTTAATCTGAGCACGATATCCGTGGAAGTCGAAGCCCAGTTCGATGGCGTCATTTCCCTCGAAGTCACGCACTTTGCCGGTGCGAGGCGGCTTGGCCCGGATTTCGATCTCTTCCCGGACGGAAAGCCCGAATGCAAGGGTGAGATTTTCAAGAAGGACAAAGGTACTACGGTCACCTCAGGGGCGTTGAGCGCCACTGTCAGTTCCAATGAGCACACTTTTGATATCAAATTTCACGCAACTGATGGATCGAAATCATTGACTGCACTTGGCCACCGCAGTGTAGGCCTTGCCTACTCGCCAGCTTTGAGCACACCTAAGACTGCTGGAGATCTGGGTGCTCACAAGCATTACATGTTCACTCAGACTGACTTGGGCGTTGGTGAAACAATTCATGGGCTTGGTGAGCGTTTTGGGGCCTGGAACAAGGTCGGCCAAAACATTGAAGTTTGGAATGAAGATGGCGGCACATCGAGTGAGCAAGCTTACAAGAACGTGTCGTTCTGGCTGAGTTCCAGAGGCTATGGTGTCTTCATTGATACTCCCGATAAGATTGACCTGGAAATTGGAAGTGAAAGGTGTGCTAGACTGCAGACTACAGTGGAAGGACAACGATTGAAATGGTAAGATTACCACGTCCTCTGATATGACAACGATTGACTCTTAAAGGTATCTCATATATGGCCCTACTCCAAAGGAAGTGCTCACAAAGTACTCCATCCTTACTGGAAAATCAACCCGTGTGCCTGCATGGTCGTATGGACTGTGGCTCAGCACCTCTTTCACAACTTCTTATGATGAAAAGACAGTCCGCCATTTCGTTGAGAAAATGTCCGAATCCAAGATTCCCGTCGAGGTCTTCCATTTCGACTGCTTTTGGCTCCGTGCTTTTCACTGGTGCGACTTCATTTGGGACCCTGAGTCCTTCTCCGACCCCGCAGGTCAAATCACGCGCATGAAAAAAGACGGACTCATCAACAAGGTCAGCGTCTGGACAAACCCATATATCGGTCAAGCAAGTCCCATTTTCCAATATGCAGCCGACAAAGGCTATCTGCTCAAGAAAACAAACGGCGATATATGGCAGTGGGATCTCTGGCAGACGGGTATGGGTATTGTCGACTTCACGAATCCTGAAGCGTGCGACTGGTTCAGAGACTGCATGGAGAAGCTTTTCGAGGTCGGGGTCGACTCCATCAAGACCGACTTTGGCGAGCGTATTCCCACCAAGGAGGTCCAGTGGCACGACAAGACTGTGGACCCGAACCGCATGCACAACTACTACGCCTTCATCTACAATAAGATAGTCTATGAAGCAGTCCAGAAGCGATACGGAAAGCACGAAGCCATCCTTTTTGCGCGCACAGCATGTGCTGGCTCCCAGCGATTCCCACTTCACTGGGGAGGTGACTGCGAGTCTACCCCTGCTGCGTTATCCGAGTCAGTACGTGGTGGTCTGAGTCTGGGACTTGCATCATTCGCATTTTGGACAAGCGACATTGGAGGGTTCGAGGGCAAGCCACCTCCTTGGATCTACAAGCGATGGGTTGCTTTTGGCCTACTCAACTCTCACAGTCGACTTCACGGCTCAAGCTCGTACCGCGTGCCATGGCTGGTCGACGACTCTTCTACAGAGCCCGATAGTTGTACTGATGTGCTGCGACATTGGGTGCAACTCAAGCGCAGCCTGATGCCCTATCTCTATGCTCAGGCTGAGGAGAGCGTCGCAAACGGTTGGCCGACTAGTGTTCGTGCGGTGGCTCTGGAATTTCCAGATGACCCCACATCCTGGTACTTGGATCGCCAATTCATGGTCGGTAGCCAGATTCTGGCTGCTCCAGTCTTCGAAGAGGATGGCACCGCTGAGTTCTATCTTCCGCTAGGTCGCTGGTTCAGCTTCTGGGATGGCAAAGAAGAACAAGGTGGCCGATGGGTCAGGGCAAAATACGGCTTTCTCCAATTGCCATTGTTCGTTCGTGAAGGCACTGTGTTGGTGCTCGGACAAACTCAAGGCGAGGGCGGCTTCGGATACGACTGGCTCGCTTCTGGCGGCGAGGTTAGGCTCTACGGCGTAAAATCAGGTGATAAAGCAGTGTTGGTGGATACCAAGGGCGAGCACAAGGGTATCTTAGAGGTCGACGCCAATAGTGAAGTCAAAGGCATGGATGTGCTGAGCGGGGATTGGAAAGTCTCGAAACTGGGATAGTAAGGGCAGCATAGCGCTAGTTTGTGAGGGGGCCATGCAGTTCCGCGGGATAACACTCATTATGCAACATAGGGATCCAACCTTAGGGATTAGAACTGCAGTCATGTTTGCTGCATCTTTTGAGTGTGAGCCGTCCAGGCTCTCATTATGCATGCTGCCTATTGGCGGAAATTCAACATAAATCCCCGCCCCTCCCACTACTGCACCCCAACATCATTCCACTCTTCCCCCCGGATTGTGTTTCTTAGTGATCGGCAACCCGCACCCCCGCCAAGCCGCACGTTGGAAGCTTATGATGGGCAAATTGTTGGAAACTAGGAGCGGTCTTCCGGCTGAATGCTTGCTGTCTAATACTGGCTGGATGGCGGGATGACCAACATGCATCGATACTTTGCATCTCGGGGCAATTGGTACCTTGGCCAACAGCTTCTTAAAAGCCGCGGGGTACCAGCGGTATCGAGTTATCCCTTCTTCTCTCTCAAACTGATTCGAGGACCAGCGAAAAAATGGGGCTCTTTTTCAATTTGGCCCTTGCCATTTTTGCTGGCACGGGTAGTTTTCTCTTCGGATACGATTCGGGAGTGATGACTATTGTCATTCAATCCGAAAACTTTCAAAAATTCTTCAGAACAGATGTAGCATCGCCGATTATAGGTGCTGTCAATGCTACGTTTTCGGGTGGAGCCTTTTTCGGCTCGTTGATGTAAGGGTGGAGCCTTTGTTGAAGAGGCGAGTTGTATTGACAATTGGCAGGGGTGGGTTTACTATGGACAGCGTGGGTCGGAGAAAGACCATTATGATTGCCGCTTCCATCAATCTTGTTGGTGCAATCCTTCAATGCGCCGCACAAAACCTCGCCATGATATTGGTTGGGAGAATCATGGCCGGATGGGCGGTTGGTCTGCTGTCCATGTCAGTGCCCATTTACCAAACGGAATGCGCTCATCCGAAGACACGAGGTCCGTACTAACAAGAAAATGCTGAGTTGTCCAAAACTAAACTGAATAGGTCTTATCACTGGCGTTACCCAGCAGATGATTGGAGTAGGGTTTATCATCTCGACCTGGGTAGGATATGGCTCCTCGAAGGTGCCGGTTACGAATTCCTTCTCTTGGCGTTTCCCACTTGCATTCCAATGCGTCCCATGCATAATTCTCATTGCCGGCATACTATTCTTCCCGGAGTCCCCGAGATATCTTGTCGAAACAGATCGTGCTGATGAAGCGCTGAGAGTACTTCGGAAGCTGCACTACGATGGAACCAACGATGACTGGGTCCAAGCTGAGTTCAATGAAATCAAGATAACCAGCGATGCGGAGCGGGCTATTTCCGCACCGGGATGGAGAATCATGTTTACAGTGCCTGCGTGGCGCACGAGATTGATGCATGCTACTCTTGTACAATTCTTTGGGCAAATGACTGGGTACGTTCTTCTCCAAAAACTTACTATTTGCTCCAAACTGACAGTGGCGCAAGTATCAATGTCATTGGCTACTATAACACGATTCTTTACAAAAATCTAGGCATCACTGGCGATAAAAACCTCCTTGTCACAGCATTCTACAATCTCGTCGGCCCCATTTGCAATCTTTTCTTCATCGTCTTCATCCTCGACCGAGTTGGACGTAAGAAGCCTCTGCTATTTGGAACTATCGGTATCTCTATCGCGCTCATCTGCGAGGCCGTCATCGGATCTCAAGTCGAAGGAGCTACCGGATCGCGGAGAGACTCACTATCTGGCGCCGGCATATTTTTCCTGTTCCTCGTCTCATGCATTTTCAGCGTATCATTCGGTCCCATCTCTTGGGTTTACGCTTCCGAAATCATGCCGCTGAGTATACGCGGACGTGGCTCGGCATTTTCGACTGCAGTTGGCAACTGGCTCGTGGGCACAATCTGGAATCAGGTCTCGCCCATTGGCTTGAATGATATCACCTACAGATTTTACTTTATTTTCGTGGCCTTTAACATTTGCGTTACATTACCCACGATTTGGTTCGTCTTCAAGGTACGTGTGCATTAAAGTGAGATATAAAACCAGATTGCTAATTGATGTTGCAGGAGACTAAGCAGCTTACGCTAGAGGAGATCGACTTGCTCTTTGGCGACGAGGACATGGGTACGCTGGCTGGTGGCTTGGACGATAAGCAGAAGCAAATCGAATTGGAGCGCATTGCAAGCGCGAAGAAGCACTTGGCTGGCTCTAGGGTCACTGCTGTACACTAGATGGATGTTGCGGTTGAAATGGTCCCCGACTGATAAGCGACACTGTGGGAGAGGCTCGCTTCGGTATCGTAGTTACATCTCTCACAAACCCATCTTTGGTAGCGAACTTATACAGGATTACACATATCCTTGGATAGCGAAAGAAAACGGTTCCTTGAACCAGAGTTCGCATGATAAATTGGAGGAAGGTTATTGCATCACGTTCTTGTCTCATATATGAACCTGCCTTGCTTGAGACCCGACACATCACTTCAGGTCTACATTCTCGGACACGAAAGTAAAGCCGATCCAGAGCAAACAACTCCCAAAAGTAAAAAAAAAATGTATCCCTATTTCCAAATGGAAAATCACTATGACACCTTTACAATTATAATGATTAGGCTTGGCAGCTTACTGAAGAAGAAGATCCCAGAACACTCACACGAAGCAGTTTTGTAAGCTCAGAATCCTATCTAAATGCTGAAGCTGTATAACTCGCTAACAAGATTGACGTATTTGGAAACGCAACCAGCACAATTCGCCTTTGCTGCGGCTTCCGGCAGAGGTGCGCTCAATGGTCTGGGAGTATGTCTTTGGGTGCTATCATATATATGTATACCCGGGAGATATATTTGCATCAAATCTACATGGGATACCACTCTCCATTAACTCCCGAGTTCGGCTTGAATTTTAGAGCAAGAACACGATGGCTCCGTACCAAAAAATGAGACACCAACCCACCTTGGGGCTAATGACCGTTTGCCGCCAAATCTACATGGAAGCAGTTTTGCTCCCATTTCAACTCAACACCTGGCACATCGATTCCAGATACCTCAAAAAGTTGATTTCTGATAAAGTGGACTACCCTATAAGACCAAGGGAGTTGGTGACGTCGGTTATCTCCTACTCTACAATGAGTTCTACCCTCAGCGACAAGGACGTCTTTCCGAATCTGAAGACAGTAGTTTTGCGTTACGAATTCTACAATGGATGGTATTTCAGTAATTGCATAGAAGAAGATGGAGGGTCTTTCAGGTGCACATGGAGGCGATATCACAGAGGGGAATGGTTTCGGTTCACGAGAAAGAGACGAGAGGATATGTGGCAATGTGGTGGCGAAAGTGTACACATGATCCCAGTGCTTTTTCGAGTGGGTGAATTCGGAACATTGGGTATCGTAGATGACACAGAGGTGTGAAAACTATCTTTCAAGAGCCATTTTGGCAAGTATGATTCGCCAGGCACCAATCCCAAGACTAAAGGACTGCTTCGGCTTTTGAGTCTTCATTGCTCGCTCGCACCACTCGAAATTCGACATTCTTTGAGACCTGTTAAACAAGACAAAACATTGGTTGTTTTTATGATTCCTTCTATTCCTTAAGAGCCTTGAATGAACAATTCATCCAGTGCTCACTTGGTATTGGTTTAAGATGCGTTTTCACCACCTTTATTCGAGGTGTAGTATAGCAGAAGTTTATTTAGGAAAAAAATGTGACCGAAACTTGCGAGTAAAGAATACAACCCTGTAGGGAGTGTTTTTGTTCTACTCATCACGAATGAAACATTATTCACACAAAGTCTACAGAGCAAGAAGACACCAAAAGCAAAAGATGTCCACAAAAAAAGAAGATAGAGTAGCTGAAGCACGTTTCTAGATACTGTTAGTGATTGAATTCGAATGACTCATGGTGAGTAGGTATTGCTTACCGATCGTGCGTCCTCCGGGTTATGAGCCCGGCGCGCTTCCGCTGCGCCATTCAGCTTTTAAACTACCAATTGAGCATGAAGAGTATTTCAAATTACATGCAATATAAATCAAGAAGAGTTTGAGTTATGGGATTGATATGCTATCGACCAGTCTTGGGACATACATTTTGACTAAGAAACTGGGCTGTGGGGTGGGGTTGCGAACGCATTTTTACCGCTTATTAGTGCGGCGGGTGTCGGACAGTTGCGGCCATATGGGGATAGTGGGACGATTTTGGGTTACCACGGTAAGCCAGACGTAAGGGCATCAATGTGCCTGTTAGCGAATGAGAGAAGGGTGCCGTTATATCAGACTGAAAATGATGCTTTTGTCCAATACTGGAATGTAGAGTCGAGTCTGGGGGAGAAGGAATGGTTCATCTATGCGTCATGACTCGGCACTCACAATATCTGAAAATGATTTTTCTTCTTCTTGAACTCCAAACTGATCATCCCGCCTAGCAAGTAATGACAAGGGCGATTCTCGATGTTGCTCGTTGATGTTGATGTCGGCGGGCATGCATAAGTACAATAGGCGGGGGCTCGAACATGAGATGAGCCCATAAGCGGTTAGCGTCGAAACGCGCATCCACGCGACGCGTCGGTAGTGCTTTAGAATGCCTCCCCACGCCAGACAGTGAATTGACATTGTCTACGCGGACCGATGAGCAGTTATTCACCAGGCATCCCCTCCTCGTTCGATCCCGCCTTGCTCAACTCAGAAATCGAATTTATCCACGGCGCGCCTGCTACCCCTTCGTATTCCGACGATATCGACGCAATTCAGCAGTGCATCGCTGAAGACGTTGATAAGAAGACCCGCGCAGGAGTCGTCATACAACACCGCGCTTGGAGAGTTGCAGACGTGTTTCGAAGTGAGGGTGAAGGAATAGTTGGTACTGTTGGTGTGAATACGCACTGCAACCAGTACTAACCCTCCCAGAAACACCCGCAAAGCGCCGCAAACATTTGCCAATCAAGCGCTGTCCTACTGACACATTGACTGGAGACCCGTCGTTTCCCTCTTCACCTCCAGCGTTCGCCATGCCGCTCATATCATCCCCTATCGCATACCCGCCCAGCTCATCAATGCCACAACCGCCGTCGCCAAAGAAGAGAAAACGCCCAGAAGATGCCCGCGAGCTGTTGCAAGATGTACCAAATAATAACACCACCCGCAAGATTGGCGGGTTTCTCGACGACTCAGACGATGAGGAGGATATTGCAGCGCTCCAGGAGCACACTCTGAAGAGGAGGGCAGTGAGCAGCATCAAAGATCTACCCGAAGTCCCAGAAGGATTTGCCGATTACACACCACCAGCAAGCCAGGATGAATTGGCAGACCCCGAATCGATACCAGTCGATGAGCTCGACAACTATAGCTTCAAGTCGCAGTCACAATCGCCCGTCAAGCGACCACATACGTCACACGAACCTACTTCAGCACAACCTATGCGCGGTATGGTGGCTCGCAATGCAGCTGGAAAAGTAATATATATACCGAAGAAGGCAAAGCGCCAAGTCGAATCATACGAAGAAATTATCGCCGCACGCTCAGAGCCTGTCCAGGGAAAAGCGAGGACCAGCTACTATGGACTCAACATTCACCAATTGATGGACGAGGCCAAGACACTGGATCAAGAGAAGGTACTGAGCAATTCAATGAAGAACCTCGAGTTACCACAACAGTCTGTTGAAGAGCCCGTCAGCAAAAGTGGCAAGAGCAGCCGTACACTCATGTGGACCGAGAAGTACAGGGCAAAAAAGTTTACAGATTTGGTTGGAGATGAAAGAACACATCGATCAGTACTGCGTTGGCTAAAGGCTTGGGATCCTATCGTCTTTCCGGGATCTGTCAAGGCAAAACCGAAGAAAGCAAAGAATGGCTTCGAGGAGGATGAGCAAAGGCACCGCAAGATTCTACTATTGACTGGCCCTCCTGGACTTGGAAAAACTACCCTTGCACACGTTTGTGCTCGACAAGCGGGCTACGAGGTTCAAGAGATTAACGCATCCGATGAGCGCAGTGGGAACGTTGTCAAAGGCCGTATTCGAGATATGGTCGGAACTGAGAACGTACGCGGTATCAACACAAGCACAGCAGATGGTAAAGTTCGTAAAGCCGGTAAACCGGTGTGTGTTGTGGTTGATGAGGTAGATGGTGTAGTGGGAAGTGGCGGCTCGGGCGAGGGTGGCTTTATCAAGGCCCTGATCGACTTGATCAATCTGGACGAGAAAAATTCAAAAGCACTTGGGCAGGGTCAGTCAAACACCGGGACAAAGAAGAAGAAGGGAGACAAATTTCGACTATTACGGCCACTTATACTGATCTGTAACGATCTCTATCACCCTTCGCTACGGCCGTTACGACAGTCATCGCTGGCCGAGATTGTGCACATCCGCAAACCTGGCCTCAACATGGTAGTTTCGCGCATGCAGGACATCTTCACCAAGGAAGGCATTCAATGCGATTCTGACGGTGTTCGTCGGCTGTGTGAGGCTACATGGGGAGTGAGCACAAAGAAAGAGGGCGGAACAGGTAGTGGCACAGGCGAGGGTGACATTCGTGGCATCATGGTAGTCAGCGAATGGATAGCAGGGCGGTTACGAGCTACCCATGGTTACAAATCCAAAGACCCGCCACATCTCTCGCGGAAATGGATAGAAGACAATCTCATCAATGACCTGAAGCATGGCGGAGGAGCTACTCGCAGCTTGGGGCGAGGCGGTGCGAAGGATGTGGTTGACCGCGTCTTTCGCGAAGGCGCTGGCTTTCCCAAACAAGCTGAAACTACTGACCCAGCAACGGCATTAGCGAGAGCGAAAAGCGGTGTAATCGGTGTTGCTGAAGCGGCAAAACGGCGCGCTATGGATCGTCTTAGGGAGATGGTCGATACAAGTGGCGATTGCGACCGTGTTGTGACTGGTGAGCTTGCTAAGATACTGAATACTTAGGGTGTGCTAACGATGAACAGACTGCTTCACTGCATACCCTGAGAAGCCTTTCCAAGACGATACATTTCTCAGCAAACCCAACGCAGCTTACGAATGGTTGCATTTCCACGACACAATCAACGCAGCCGTGCATGGCTCACAGGAATGGGAACTTGCACCTTACCTTTCCAACTCTGTACTAGCTTTCCACGACCTATTTGCCTCGCCCATTCGGTCAACAACGAACCCCGTAACAGATCCGGACGCGCAGCCAACGCCATTTTCCGGTCCTGGCGCAAGTTTTGCTGCAATGGAGCAGACCAAAGCCAGTAGGGCTCAGTTGATGGCGCTGCAAACAACTCTGAGTTTATCCCTGACTCGCATGTTTCGAAGTCCAGAAGAGATGGCCATGGAACTGATACCCTATGTCTTACGCATGTTGTCGCCAGATGTCAAACCTGTTCTCGTCAACACCGGTGCTGCAGGATCAAAATCGTTCGCCACAGCCTCAGTACGCAAAGCTTCAGAGAAGGAGTTGGTAAAGAAGGCTGTGGAAGCCATGGTCGCAACTGGAGTTCGCTTTGAGAAATCCAGAATCGAAACAGAAGAAGTGTCGCATAGGAGTGGAGGCTTCATTTGGCGTATGGAGCCCGCCCTCGACGTCCTAGCCACCTTTGAGACTCTCGCCAGCAAGAAAGACGAAAAGGCACGCTACGCTGTCCGCAGTGTTCTCGAGCAGGAATGGAGGAAGGAGTCTGCGATCCGTGAACAGGCCAATCGCAAGCGCCGCGGAGGTCAAGACGAGTTTGATGATGACGCAGAGGCAGGAAAGAAGGAGGAGATGACCACCGAAGAAAAGATTGCTGCAGTCAATAAGAAGGCTGTCAAGCGTGACTTCTTCGGAAGAGTAATACAAGAGACAGATGCGAGCAAGAAGGAGACGAAGAGGCGGCAGGACCTTGGGGAGATGCAGGGAGATGCGGGAAGGATATGGGTATCGTTTCACGAAGGTTTCTCGAACGCAGTCAGGAAACCCGTCACCATTGACGATATTATGCGAGACCTGTAAGCTCGGGACCCGTGTTTGGATTTTCCCATTATGCTAGGGATTACGAATTTTGTACATTGTCCTCTCTGGATCGCCTGCGTTGATATGCATCACGTACGCCATTGTACCACGAAGTGTAGACGGCTCCCCGCACCTGCCCTATATGGTAATTGTTTCGTTACTTACAACTTAGGAAGGAGAATTGGTAATGCAGTAGTACATTATGGAGCAAGGGGCTGGCCAACTCAACGGGACCATCCCCACTTTTCCGCACCGTCTTACGCCCGTACAGGCGATCTGACCGTGACACCGGCTTGATAACAGCCGTCATGCATTGGTAGCCTGGGGGGATTAAACGATATAATGCCATTTCTTGGCAGTTATGTGGAGATATAATTTGCGCTCCAACGCCCTTGTCTTTAATCCTAGTCGTTGTGCTGTGTACAAGCTCACTGTTCAGGAGCAAAGAG